GTGACTGGCCAAGTGGCAGCTTCTCTGAGAGTTTCCTAATTCCCAGCACACGCTCCAGTTCTGGCACATGGTGCATCCTATGGGGACGGCTGGGGGGTGGGGACAGGTGCATGCACAGATACACACCCACCCTCACCATATACAAATACGAGTATATTAGCATACATGCACATCCCACACATATACATATGCATACAAACATATATACACACATATCCATGCATATGTAGTATATTCATATACACACATACACAAATATCCATATATAGTAAAGTTGTATACACAAATATATATACACATGTATGTAAATATACACACATATACACACACGAGTATACACATATACACGCATATAGTGTATTTGTACACACACATATATGTAAGCATATGCATACACAGATATGTACACACATATATACACACAGGTATATACACGTCACACATATGTACATGTGCACGTGCAGACACACATGCACATATACATAGACACATGCATATCCAAATACACATATACAGAAAATACACACATACCTATGTATACACACATATACACATATGTACACACAAATACATATACACATACGCATATACACTATATTTGTATATACACTCACATAATCATGTACATATGCAGATATATACACACGTGGACATATCTGCATATACATGTACACATATACACACATACGACTACATGTATACACATATACATGTATTCGCACATATACATATATTCAGATATACACAGATATACACACATATGCACACATGTGTAGATGTGACTATTCAGATACATATACAGAAATACATGCATGTATGTGCACGTGCACACACACACATATATACGTACACATATATACTTCTGTATATATACGTATACTCATAATCATGTATACATGCAAATATATACACACATGCAAATATATATGCTTATGCACATGCACACACATATGCACATACGTATACACACATACACACACATACACTGACATATACACACATACATACATACGCTCATGCACACACACACACACACATCTCCCCCATCAGAAGGCCTGCTCGCTTCTCCCTGAGCTCCTCGCATGGCAGAAACCTGGCCGGCACGAAGGGAACGAGAGCTCAGGGCAGGCGAGCCATGTGCACAAGGAGAAAAAAAGAACTTGCAGAGGTGGAGGAGACCTGTGGAATGATCTCCTGAAAACAGGCCATTTTCCAGGTGGAGACACAGAGGTTCAGACGAGAAGGAGGCTCAGGAGTGAGCAGAGACCCTCCCTGCGGACAGGGCGCGGGGCTGCAGGCACCCCAGCACCGCACAGCAGAGTTGGCAAGGACAGACGGGACCGTGACCCAGCACAGCAGCCCTCGGGCAGCAGCACTGAGATCTGCCATCACTGGCCTCTAGGGAGTGACACTCCAGACTCAGGAGGTCCTGCTAGGGCAATCCCCCCCGTGTGACATTCCGTGATGCTCAGTGACGGTGTAGTCATGTATCTTCGAGCAAAACAGGCAGAAAGGTGACACGGCGGGAACAGAAACATTTTCTATGTGGAACAACAGAGTCACTGGGGTCCCAGCACCACAGCCCCTTATCACAGACCCCGGCTCCACTCGGTTCTGCTGTGCCGTGGTGCCATCCACCGGTGCGAGGCGAGACGGGAGACTCCTGCCGTCCCACAGGCGTCTCGGGCTCCCCAGTCTCCACCGACCCCGTGTTGGGTTCTCATCAAGCCCTGAGCTCCAGGGCAAGTGACGACAGCGTCAGGGGACCCTGCCAGCTGTGGGACGTGCGTGGTGGTCACAGGGACCACGTCCACTCAGCAGCTCTGCCTGTGTGATTACTGCCCGTGGGGAGCAGAAAAGGGCACTGAGAGGTCAAGTGACTTGTTCGAAGTCACACAGCTCCCGTGGAGACGAGGGAGGAACACGTGGGCGGCCAGGGCAGAGCTGCCGCTCCCACTCCCCCCTGGAGGGAGGGACAGTCCCGCAGGACACACAAAAGGCGTGGGAGGAACTGCAAAAATCAAGGCCAGCAAGTAGATTCCACCACCATGACCCTGACTCCATATCTGCAAGTTCACCTACTCACCAAGAATTTTTACTTCTAACCCCAGATCAACACGTGGCATTTTCGTGGCCATCCATGGAGGCGCACAGAGCGGCCACGATTTGCAGTCGTCCCACGTGCATGTTCCCAGCTCTCATGCCATCAACATGCACCCTCCAGTCCTGCTTGAGGACACAGTTTTTGCATGTCTGTGCTCTTTGCTGGTACTTTTAATGTTTATGATGACTCCCCCCTGAAGGGCTGCCCAGTGTCCTGAGCAGGAGAAGCTGAGACGTGCCTTCCAGGGAAAACCCGTGTGTTAGAGACACTTTGTTTCTGCGTGGGGGGTTCACTGAATCAACAGCACAGACTAAACAAGGCCTTTACGCAGAACCGCACGTATGATGGAGTAAAGCACTGATGGGCTTAAGAAAACACAGTGACATGAGGCTCGAGAGAACCCGAAACGCCCCTGGGAGCAAAGGCTGGCGATCACTAATTCAGTGTCACGGAGATTTTACGGAGCATGACCCCGAAATGACAGGGTGGCAGTCCTCCAACACGGGCAATGCCCTCCTACCGCTCCCAGGACCAGGCCTTCGAACAGGACGCCCCCCACGGCCTCCCGCCACCACCCACCCGCTGTGGCAGAGAAGCCTGTCGCTGAGTTCCGGCCACCGCCTGCATGTGTGAGAGCACCGTAGGACAGGCTGGGTCTGCTCCAGGAGCTCGCATGCCCGGCCCAGCAAGAACCTCGTCAAGTAAGAAACCAAACAGACACCAAGGTGGAGAAGCACAACGGGGAGAGGAGGAGACACTGAGCTGGCTCTCTGGGCCTCGTTCCTGTCACCTGACACACGGTGGCGGGGGGGGGTTCCCTGCCCATCCCAGGGAGTGCCCCCCCCACCGGCAACATCCAAGTCAGCCAGCCCAGTGCAGAGACACTGACACCTTCCCAGCAGCTCGCAGCCAGCGCCCCAAGGAGACCTCTCTGCTTCTCACATACTCTCCTGAACTCACAGCCCCGGGGGCTCTGGACCCCAAAAGAGGGCAGGGTTTCTGGCATCCGAGCAGACCGCAGAGACATTTCTGATCTAACCGCCAGCAGGCTGCCCTCGCTGCCCCTCCCCTGGGCCCTCACGACGGCTGCTGGACGTACCTTCTCCGCCGGCACTCAGGCTCTCGTACGAGTCCCAGCGGATCAGGGGGTCTGCTGTGTTGAAGTCCACGATCACTCCGTGGTCATTGCACAAGTGTTCACAGCCTGCATGGGGAGGAAGTGTCAGCCACAGCCCAGGCACACCGCCGTGCGCCAGCCTGGAGGACCAGACGGAGGCATGCCGGGCCTGAGTGCCGAAAGCCAGCGCCAAGACCTGCGTTCCTGCTCCCAGGAGCCTGGCGCTGACCGCAGGTGAGAGTGCTCTGGCTCTCCGTCCGCTGTGCACTCAGTCCACTGTGGGCTCTGAGTACTAACTGTGCACACCAAGACCACCCAGATCACTTCCCGGACCGGGACGGAGAGGCACCAAGCGGTCAGCCCTGAGGCAGAGGGCAGAGAGGCGCGTTTATGCCCAGGCTCCAGGCTCCCAGACCCCTGCGCCACTCTGCCCACATTCTGGGGAAGCCAATGGTTGTGACCTCACACACCTCGCACTTAACTAGCAACTGAATTAGGGCACTGATCTCAGAAGGAAGGGGACTATCTTCTCTAGCAATTCAAGCCTGAATTAAAACGTTCTTGGGGAGCCTGGGGGCTCAGGCAGTTAAGCGTCCAACTTCGGTTCAGGTAACGATCTCACAGTTTGTGGGGTCAAGCCCCACATCAGGCTCTGTGCTGATAGTGTGGAGCCTGCTTGGGATTCTGTCTCTACCTCTCTCTGCCTCTCCCAACTAGAGCACACACTCTCTCAATATTAAATAAACATTTTAAATAATAAATCAGTAAAAAATAAATTGTTTTTGAGTATGAATCTCGCTAAAGAAAAGAACCACTCCCCTTGATGATAAAGGGGCAGATTCCTCTATTTTTAGAAAAAAAGGAGAATCTATTTGTTTGCAAATAAATATTTGTACTCAACTGTACTTCTAATCATCTTTAAACACATTCAACTGTTTGTTGGGAGAAAAGTAAACAATCAGCACGATCTCCCAGAAAAGAGGGACAAAAAGCTGAGGGACCAAGGGTCCGGGCTCTTCCTCAGGCAAAAGATTCCCCATGTCTGGGGTCTTACTGATCCAACTGGGCCCTGCTGTCTGTAAGTCACCCCTCACCACACTGAAAACTATCCTATTATTTGAAACTTGGGGGACGCCCGGTGGCTCAGTCGGTTAAGCATCTGACTCTTGATCTCAGCTCAAGTCATGATCTCACAGCTCATGAGATCGAGCCCCGCTTCTGGATCCACGCTGACAGCATGGAGCCTGCTTGGGATTCTCCCTCCCTCCCTCTCTCTCTCTCTCCTTCTCTCTCTCCCCCTCCCTCACTCACGTTCTCTCTCAAAATAAATAAACTTAAAAAAAAATTGTGATGACAATGTCCCAATACACACAAAGGTGGGAGAGTGTGCCGAGACCCCATGGGACCAGACCCTCCACCCAAGCTGGCGAGCACCCCGCCTCCGCATGCATTCTGCACCCCACCTACCTTGAATCTTCTCAGGAGTGGCAGAGAAAACTAACTCAATCTTGCCATTATCAGGAAAACGGTCATCTGAAAAACAAATCGTGTTTGGACAAGTTTAGAGATGAAGGGGCAAAAAAGCCCGTACAAACTCCAGCCAGGATGGCGCCCACACCCACCAGGGCAGGCCCCATGGCTGAGGAGTTCTTCATGTTTCCAGAACATTCTCTGGACCAGAGCTTGGTCTTCTGTGAGACCGGCAGTTAGTGGCAAGTGGGTTCAGCGCATGGGGCGTGGGGAGAACAGGGAGAGGAGCAAACAGAGACCCACTGCCCACTGTGACCTGCGTCCCAGCGGCCCGCGGGCCTCACCTTGGCTGGCGGTGTCCAAATCCTCCTTCCCGAATACCAGCCCGCAGCCCTGGACGGCCCCGGTGTGAAACTGCAGGCGGAAGATGACGTCGCGGGTGGCTGAACGGTACTTCTTGTGGTAGCACTTGATCTGGTGTGAAGAGGGGACACACAGGCCAATTCTTGAGCAGCAGGGGGTCACGGGGTAGGCCTCCCCCCACCAAGCCCTGTGGACCAGCTGCAAATGTCACCACTTCCAAGGGACCTAAGTTCTGATGACCACAGCCATGGCCCGTGGCCGTCAGGCCAATGCGGATACTCTGGTTGCAGAGGTCACATCAGGATGAACTTCCCCAGGGTCTAGTAACTCCCTGTGGGGAAGACGTCACTTTCATCCACATTCTCTAGGTGTCACAGGCAGCTGAGCCTCACCATCCACGCTTCATGTGCTAAATGCCTATGTGTGCACTAGGATTTGGAGAGGAGAGCACAGGAGAGAGAGAGAGAGAGAAAGGGAGAGGCAGAGGGAGGGGAGGAGGGGAAGGGGTAGATGAGAGAGGGCCTGGCATTTAAATAACCCGAGCAAGGCTGTCCCATATCCTGGACGCTCACTTGAGAGCAGCCTCCAGAATCACCACGGCAGTGATGTGAACTCAGGGCTGCAGGTACCCTGGGTCCCTGACACCTTTATGTGGAAGCCCCCCCTCCCCCACCCAAGGGAATGAGAGAGCGCCGGGGCCGCAAGGAGGTCTCCCAGGCCACAGCGGGGTGATGTCTGCAGGCGAGGACCCTCCCCCCCACAAGCAGGGCAGGGGCTCCTTCCCAGGGTGCTCAGCAGCCCAAGGCCAGAAGCAGGCTGGAGTGTGGGTGGCCGGTCCCTCTCCTGTGCATGCCCGGCAGGGTCGGGGGGAGGCTGGGGCTCTCAGAGGCAGCCACGCTCACAAAAAAGATTTTTCTAGGGCAAAGATGGGTGTTAAATATCCAGTACATCACAAAGGCCAACGAGAAGCAGCCACGTGGGCCAGGTCCAGACAGGCAATGCAGGAGAATGCCCCAGCTGAAGGCTCTGCCGTGCAGCTGCCCAGGCAAACTACCCCACAAAGGGAAAGTAAAGCCCCAGGAGCCTGGGCCCACTGGCCAGGAAGCGTGCCCCCCTGGGCAGAGCCAGGCCGTTGTTTCGCTCTGCGTGTCTACAAGGAAACAGTCTGATAAATACACGAAGTGTGAACAGACCGAAGGGGAGTGTTTCGTGTTGACAAACATGCCTGGGGCTGCCTGGTGCATACACAGCCCAACTCGGACCTGGCCTCCATCCTGGCCTCCGTACTGGCCTCTGTCCTGGCCTCCGTCTGGACCGGCCCAGAGCGTCTGCACCAACCACCACGAATTCCTGAGAAATGGGAACTCGGCAATCTGCTTTCAACCAACAATGGACCTTCATCCACAGGGTCTCCTCCTGCAGCCACCTGGGGTCACAGACTCCTCAGCGGGGCCCAACCGAAGGCCGATGATGGCTGGACTTCCTTCCAGAACACGCCATGTGCTCCTCCCCTCCTGCGAGCCCTCACCTGCACGCACCCCAGGGACTGTGGTCTCAGCAGAGGTGCCCACCCACCCGGACCACAGAGGAGACCCCCCAGGAGGCCCCCCCAGGATGCAGCAGGTCCCCTGGTATCTCCATCTCTCCAGGAGGACGGGAGCCGCACCTGACAAGTAGGGGTGACCCAGGGAGAAGCGGTGGGGGGGGGGGTCCAGGCTCACTCCAGGCCAGTTCTTAAATCTTTCTAAATGCCGAGGGGAGGGGCGCCTGGGTGGCGCAGTCGGTTAAGCGTCCGACTTCAGCCAGGTCACGATCTCGCGGTCCGGGAGTTCGAACCCCGCGTCGGGCTCTGGGCTGACGGCTCAGAGCCTGGAGCCTGTTTCCGATTCTGTGTCTCCCTCTCTCTCTGCCCCTCCCCCATTCATGCTCTGTCTCTCTCTGTCCCCAAAAAAATAAATAAACGTTGAAAACAAAAATATTTAAAAATAAATAAATAAATAAATGCCAAGGGGAACCAGAGCTTTAAAGAATGTCCTGAGGGCAACAGTGCCCCGCCGCCAGCCCGCACGGTCACAGCGCAGTGAGGAGCGGCCTTGCCAAGCGTGGGCGCCGAGGCCTGCGTGCGGGACCCCCAGTGAACAGGGGACGCAGCAGGCGCTGGGCAGATAAGCCCCTGCGCCCATTAAAGGGCTCATCCTGCAGCCAGCACCCCCCAGGCCGGGCCCTGCCCTCCCCGGGGACCCCAGGGGCTCCCTGTGCCACTCACCACGACTCAGCACAGCCGCACCACACACGCCGTGTGGCTCAGTCACAAATCGCAGCCCCTCCGAGTGCCAGGGAGCGGGGAGGCGGAGGTCACCATGCCTGGGGCAGGGTCCGGGATGCGGATCGCCCTCCCCAGGCTGCCAGCTCCTGTCACTTCCCAGGGCCAAGTGTGACTCTGGTGTCTGAAGACTCCTGGGTTTTCCCAGGACAAGGGCTCAGAATGGAAGGAGGAGTGACCTATCCACCGTTACGGGGCAGCTGCCAGGTCCCGCTCTCCCACAGGGTGTCCCGTCCTGACAAGCCAGCTGGCGGACACCCCAGGCCTCCCTGCGCACCTCCGGAGGCTTCGCGCTGAACCTCTCTTCCCACAGATGGGGAGGCACCCGCCGGCCCCCCCAGCCCGGCCGCCTGCCCTGGGAACAGACGCCAGGTGCCTCCTGAGGACACAGAAAACCCCAGGAGCCTTCCTGCACAAGGTCTGGGCAGCCACCACCACAGAGCAGCTCCGACCCAGAGACGGGGCCTACACCCGCCGGGAGCCCTGCCGGGGCACGGGCACCAGATGCAGAGCCCGTAACCATCCCCCGCCCAAGCCAACAGTTGTCAGCATCGGCGGCGAGAGATGAGAATCCCGCTCCTCACACTCGGGGGAACGAACCATCGGCAGCTACTTGACGTGAGCGCCCCAAATGCCCCCTCTAAGATACCAAGGACAGCACCTCGTAACGATCACAGTGACCGAGGCCTGTAACATCCCCTTTGTCCCTCTGGGGTCGGTGAGTTTCCACAATACGTCCATCCCCTGCCTTCAGATTTTAGAATACGCATGTCTGAAACAATTCAAAGCGTAGCAGCCTGGACTCCATACAAAAGGGGGAAGGACATCCGTCCACCACAGCCTGTCCCCAAAGCCGCAGGGGGGCACACGGGTGTGACACGAATGTCACAACCCACCAGGAACTCTTGGGTCGGGGGAAGGAAGGCGCTCAGGTGGCGCGTGGATTTCTCTGGCGGCACAGCGGCTGTTCAAGCAGTGACCTCCCGTCTCCATCCCGAGGATGATCAGCTCTCACGACACATCCATACAACACGCGAGCCCAAACGCACATACTGGCCTGACGCTATCAGAGGCTGCAAGCTTCTAGAGGGAGGGGGCCCCGGGGGACAGGTCTGAGCGCTTGGAGCCTTCCTTGTCTTGACGAGACGATCCGGAAACCGTCGCCCAGCGTAAAACCCACCTGTGCCCTTGAGCGGTCGGCGCCTGGCCCTTGGTCCCCCCGCACCGCACACCGTGTGTGCAGTGGTGGTCCCATCCGCGACAGAATTCCAAATCACACATGTCATGGATCCATCTGGTGGGCAAGGAGCCGGTAAGCTGACCTCCCTGCTTAACACTTGGGCTGCACGGATGTGTTTTTAATTCAAACTCTCCATCAACAAGAGAACGGCGCCTTGGACCAAGGGCTCAAAGCTTGAGGACGCAGCCCCGGGAGCACCTGTGCCCAGGTCAGAGGCCAGCCCGCAGGTGTCCCCCTCCTCTGCCTGCCACCAGCCCTTGTCTGAGGCAGCTCCTACTTGGAGCCACCTCCCACGAAACATCCCAGCGCCCACCAGCTTAGTACAAACAGCAGAAGAAACAGGACCCTCGACACTCCCCACCAGAAAAGAGTCCCCCAACTGCAACTCACTTTGCTGGTGGTCCCGGTGATGGCCGTCCAGATAGGCTCAGAGGACAAGCTACAACCTCACACTTGAAAGACTGAAAACCATGATCTCTAACCCTGGTAAGTCTGAACACCCACATCATCCAGTGCCAACACGAACCGCAATTTCGAAATGCCGTAATTCGTGTCCACACCCATGGAAAGGTCAGCAGGTGCTGCCTACGAACGAAAGCACAGCCGTGGAGCTAGGACCGCGGGAAGGATCAAGCCCCAGCCTGGGTCTGGGAGGTGGCCCGCACAGTCAGGGAGGAAGGTGTGCGCACAGAAGTCACAAGGAAACACAGAGGCAGGCACAGTGGGAAGTGTGTGGGAACTGCCTGCCGGAGGAGCAAAGTCCACAGAGGGAGCTGAGGACACGCACAGAAGTGCCCCCAGTGGGAGGGAGTAAAGGACAGTGCTGGGTGTCCGCAGCAGCTCCCGGAGCAGGCATCCCCTCTGTTTAGAAGTTGGGTCACGGGAGCAAGGTCGTGGAGCCCCGCAGTCACTAGGACACAACGTGAGTGGCCACAGGGTTTGCACAAGCAGAGACAGCAAGACCAGGCACGCCGGACGGGAAAGTGTTTACAAGCCCATCAAGGCCCTGGGCCGCGGCCAGGATCCCACTGTGTCCGCACCCACGCGAATTCCTAAGCGAGGTTACATAACGGCCTGGCTGTGCTCACGGAGCTCTGGCCTCCTCCCCGAGGACCTGAGGCCCTGCCCTTTGGAAGGGGTGGACCTGAGAGATGGGAGGGTCAGGTGTGCAGAGGGAGGGCGAGGGGGTGGGCCGGCAGTGCTCAGGCGGTCAGACTGCTCCCTTGGCCTCACCAGGACCAGGGCCGAGCTGCACCCTCCCCAGCGCTTTCCCGGCCCATCAGAGCCGATGCGGCCCGACTTCCCGCAAACGCAGCCCCCGATGTCTTGGCTAACGGGTCTCGGGTGAGGAAAGGGGCAAATCTATCCAGGCACACTTACCAGATCAAGGAGGGGAAAACCCAGAGGGCGAGATGCCTTCGGGAAGATGATGACCGAGGACAGTGAGCCAGCCCTGGGAACTCCTCCCACCTTCGAGGGCAGGAAGGTGGGCTCAGCGAACACCAGACCGAGAGCCAAACCCGCTACAGGTGTTGGTGGTGAACCCGT